CATAACCTAAACTAGGTGCACTGTGCATGTCCATGATAAATATGCAAGCAAAAATAATCACAAAACTAGATTAGCAATATATAATAGCTTGGATCTTTGATTCTAGGCGATTAAGCCATAAATCAAGAGCACCAAGATCTGATACCAAATGAAATTACCCTAGAGGAGGGGTAATAGGGTATTTGCTAATCTAATCTGATTTTAATGCCAACATTAATACTCATTAACTAATATATCCTAACAATGTGATATATAAAGAAATATGCAAGGATATACAATGAGCAATAGACGAAATAAACAATGAAACAAAAATACGTCAATACCAAACATAAACACAAAGCAAATGATCACGGAGTTCGGTCGACCTACGACCTACGTCTTCGCTCCTCACCCTCGAGGAGAAACTCCACTATCTATCATAAATACTAAATAATCCATTTTCAATGCTTACTGATAACATTTACAATCTCACACAACTGTCAATACATAATACACTCCTCTAAGTGTTGGCCTAGCCCGTGTTATCTTCCTCAAGTGTTTGGATTTACCACCTCTCCCTAGGTTTTACTATCAACCAACTTCTCTTGTAATTGACCCCGTCTCTCCCAACCACTTTTCTAAGTGTCTTTGTGTATTACAACGTGTTCTCAACAATGATAAGCTTAAATAAATGTTTGCTCTAACAATGATGAGAACAAAATCTAAGATCACTCAATGATACAACCCCACAACCCAAATATATACAATATAAGAAATACTAAAACTCAAGTGGTTCTGTGTGTAAATAATGAGTATAATAAAATCAAAGTTAAACTCAATTCAATCTAGCATAAATATATAAGAAACAAAATGATAAATAGCTAGAAGATGAGTTAAGAAAACTTCTCTAAACAAAGTGAGTTGAGGATTTGAGGTTAAACTCCTCAATAATGAAATTGAACTCCTCCTCTTTGTGAAGCCTTCTTCACACAAACAAAATAAACTTTTTCTCTCTTAAAACTCAGAAACAAACATCCCAAAAAACTTATAAAACTCTTGTAAAACTCCTTGCAAAAAACCAAGTGTTGATGAATTTTTATAGCTACTCAACAAGGCCATCAAAAACTAGTCGTTATGGCTCCTAACCGTTGATCGGTCGACTGATGCAATGCATCGGTCGACTGACAACATGCACACCGGTAGTTTGTGTTAAAATCTGCATAAGTAATTTTCTAAATTCAATTAAAAATAGAAAATCAACTCCAAAAATTGTAAATTTTAGGAAATGTTTATAAATATGAAGATAAACATTTTAGAGAAAGAGTTTCTGAATTATCACTTCCTATTTGTGAGAACTCACTGTTTTAAAACATATATTCCAGATTCTAAATATTTGATTTTGTAAAATCGATTTAACATAGTAAATCAACTCCAAAAATAATAAAATTTTGGAAAATATTTGTATACATAAAATATAACATGTCAGAAAAAGAATTCCTTAAATTTTATTTCCCATTTGTGAAAACTCATTTATTTTTCAAGCTGTTCAAAAAACGTTAAAACTTGATTTTGATGAAATTTCTTCAAATAAGTTTTGAAACACTTTAAAATAGATTAATAGACTTGAGGAAAGATATAAAATAGTGTAAACAAGTCTTTAATCTATAAACGTATTATTTTCCAAAACAAAGATGATAAATATGAAACGAATGTATATGTTTATCAATATCTCTATTTGTTTCATATTTATACGGTTAAACTTGAAAACGATAAACTGAAAATGTGTATGAGTGTAATATTTGAGCTTTTAAGCATAACACATTAAGTAAACTCCTAAACTACAAACAATATACCCAAGACAATGATCTTCAATTTGTTCGTCTTGGTTGTGGATGAAGCGATGATGAATCTTGTCTTGAGTCGTAACGGGTTCATTCCGATTTTCACCAACCTCTAAGATATCGTCGTTTGCGCTCAATTCCATCCAACCTCCAACTAAGGATATTTGTGTAGATTACCTAGTAAAACAAAATGCAAACACTCGACACGTGATGTTAGGAATTATTTGTTAATCATCAAAACTAGATTAGATAGTGGACTCATAAACATGAGACCTAACAATAACCTCGAAACTAATGAATCAAGTGAAGAAGATGGGAAAGTTGTAAGGAAACAGAGGAGGTGACCAGAATTTTATCCTAACATAGACATGCATAATGTTCACTTTGTACATGGACAGAGATTCGCAAATAAGGCTGAATTTCTTAATGCTTTGTGGAGCTATTCAATTGTTACAAGTATCAGCTCAGTCACATTTAACTTAGTGGCTAAGTCTAATTCAAAGTACTAATCAATGTGTCAGGTATTTTAACAACTAGACTTCAATACTTCAGGTGTCTGAAACTGAGTGTTTCAGATATCTGAAACAGTGGAGTCTCAGATTTCAATTCTGATACTTTGATGTTTCAGATCCTCAAATAAAACATCACTGTTTAAGTTTAATGTCTATGTCAGGTCTGAGCTAATATCTAGTCAATTCCTTTTTGCATAGAATTTCTCAAGTTTTTTGTATGTCTCGTCTTTTCCATATTTTGTTATAAGTATTTTGAACCATAGTAATTAATCGAGTTTTACCCTTAGCACTCACCTTCTCATACTCAAACTTGAATGCCGAAACAAATCTTTCAAAATTTTCACTTATAATCTACCAACATCTTCAATTGATATAGCTGTTGTCATCTACCAAAATGAAAGGATGAATTAGCTAATCATGCTTAATTATACTACTAGGAAACATTTTAGTTTTCAACCAAAGAAGATTGTTACCGTAAATTTTGTTTTTAATCATTTCTTGTCCATTTTTATCGGGATACTTTAATGTCAATTTTGATTGCCACTGAAAAAATCACTTAGTACTACCTGTTTTGTTCCTTATATTATTATTTTAGCTTAATATCAGAAAACCCCATAACTTATTATTTTTGATGAAGTCTTAAACATAAAGGGGTTTTCTGATAACCCCTAAACTTAAAGGGTTTCGTTATTTTGAAAGATAAAGTGCGTTATTATTACATTATTATTTTTCATTATTTGAATTTTTTACTGTACATGTTTTAAGGCAATCTCAATTTTGCACGCCAGGGGAGAACAATAGTAGTGTATGTCTAGTAGGTAAAGGACTAATAAGGAAATCTCAGAATTTTATTTCATTTCTTACATAACCTTGCATACAAAATAGATTTGAGTCTCACGTTAATTTCCTTTACTTAGCTTTTTTCTCGTTTGCATTTCACGCTACTTGGCGCAGGTTATAACATCAAGAAGATGAAAAACTACCATGATAGAGTAGTTGCTAAGTACAAGAGTGAAGGAGCTTGTTCATGGAGAATTACACGTAATCCAATGCAACTTCAAAAAAAATGGCAGGTTAAGTCTCTTTACACGGTTCATAAGTGTTCCCTTACATATAAAACTAAACAATTGACTAGTAAGTGGCTTGCAAAGACATAGAGAAAGAAGATTAGGGACAATCTTGGGTGGTTAATAAAGGAGTTTGTGGCCGATGTTCTTGAAAAGTACAAGCTACATGTATCTATAGCTACTGTTGTGAGGCCAAGGCAACTAGCACTAGGTCATGAAACCAAACAGAAAATGATTGAGCGTTACGCCAAGCTATGTGTACCAAAAGTGTTCCACCTAGTTTCTATAAGTTGTATGTATGTTTTGATGCACTTAACAAGGGGTGGCTTGCTGAATGTAGGCCTACTCTTGGATTGCATGGTTGTTTTTTTATGGGAATTTACAAAGGTGGATTATTATGCGCAGTAGGGAGAGATGGGAGCAATAATATGTTCCCAGTTGCTTAGTCAGTTGTGGAGGTAGAGAGAGAGAGAGAGAGAGAGAGAGAGAGAGAGAGAGTAAATTTGACTCTCATGACTGATCAACAGAAGGTATGAAATTTCATTCTTTTCTCATTCATTCAAATTTATTGTATGTGATTTAATCTATTTATTTGCAATGGTTACTGCTAGACTCATTTATGCAAACTGGAGATATAAACACAAGGGGACTGAACTGAAAAGGGTCTTTTGGAAGATTGCTAAGTCTATACAAGGGAAGAATACAATATTGCCATGCATAAATTAGAAGAAATGTCACGGCAATCAATTTAAGTGGCGGTTTGTATGGTGTATGATAGCGGGCGATTTTCGCTTTGCTATCGTGCGCCCCCGCCGAGAATTTCTGTGAAAATTTGAGTTTTCTGATGGTGAAGAAGAAGAAAGGCAGTGGAAAAAAGATACTGGAGATTGGTTTGAGAGCTCCTAAGCTGAATTCAACAGTTCCTGATGGCCTCTCTGATCTAAGCGAGGAAGATGATGTAGATTCCATTGAAATGGGTTCTACTGGGCCAAAGGGGGCAAGAAAGTCTAGATCTATGACAGAGGTGCTGAATTCGGGAAATTTGGAGTTTGATTTTGTTCTGGATCGTCAGATTCTTCAAAAATCTGGTCGGCAGAGTGATCGGAGTTCTGGAGGTCCTGTTCTTGGTAAGATTCACTCTTCTGGATCTAATGGAAATCTTGAGTTTAATAAGTCAGCTGTTTCTAGTAGATCTGTCAAATCTTGGGCAGATGGATCTAATGGAAATCTTGAGTTTAATAAGTCAGCTGTTTCTAGTAGATCTGTCAAATCTTGGGCAGATGAACTGGATTCAAGAAAAGATAATCTAGATTCATCTTTAAATCAAGATCTTCAGCTGAATTTGAATAAATCTGAGAGTCCTATTCTGGAAAAAGAGAAAAATATTGTTCTATTGAATTCTGGTAAATATAGTTCTCCAATTATTAAAGAAGCTGGGTCCTTAACTGAAAATACTGTTCTATTGAGCTCTGGGAAGAATAGTTCTCCAATTGTTACAGAACATTCTGTTGAGACTTTAAGTGGTTCAAATGGAACTGGTAAAAAATTGGAAAAAAAATTGGGCTAGTCTGTTTACAGATAACAGAAAGATAGAGTATGGGATGAATTTGAACTATGTTCCTTCTAAAAACAAAGACACAATATCCTTTAATGACGATGAATGGAATGAGGATATATCAATATGGCAATCTTCACTAATAGGGCAAGTAATGGGTTTGAATGTAAAGTTCAAGGCTATGGAGAGTTATGTGCAAAGAACATGGAGGAATTTTATGCATGAAGTATGCCTTCTAAAACCTGGACTTTTTCTGATCAAATTCAAAAATACTGATGAGATGAATGAGATCTTGTGTAAGGGGCCTTGGTTCTTTGGATCAAGACCTTTGTTATTGAAACAATGGACAAATGGAGAAGATATTGAGAAGATTAATGACAGTGTGTATCCTTTGTGGATTCAACTTCCATCTCTGAGACTCAATCTATGGAATGCTAAAAGTATTTCAAAAATTGCAAGTGCTATAGGTTGTCCAATAGCTACTGATAGACTGACTGCAAACAGGCAGCGCTTGGCTTATGCGAGGGTGTTAGTAGAGGTTAAAATGCCATCTCCCCTTCCAGATAAAATCAACTTTCTAGATCCAAAAGGGAAGCAATACACTCAGAAGGTGATTTATGAATTTAAACCTAAATGGTGTGAAGTATGTAAGCAGGTTGGTCATGATATAAGAAATTGTAGAAGGCAGATAAAAACTCAAAGATGGGTTCCTAAACAAGGCCAGAACCCAATATCTGATGATACTAGGAAGGAAAAAGCTATAATTGAGAATGATAATTCTATGCTTTCAAATGTTAACCTGAATATGGATATTACAAGACAAGAGGGCAGTACAAAGGAAGGGAATAGTAGGAAAATGGCTGTGCATGTTTCTGATACAGGTGGAGATGGCCATCTATTAAGTGAGATAGTTAATGGAAGTGGGAGGAAAATTGCTGATCCATCTGGTTCTGGGCTGAAAGCAATGCATAATGATGTACATGAGATTAAGGAGAAAAATACAGATGCTAATAGTGCTGATGCTCAAGGAATTAAACCTTGGACTCAAGTTCAAAAAGGTTTTAGGAGTAAAAATATCATTCCTGGAAATTCTTTTACATTTCTGGATATTTTGGATATTGACCCTTCTACAATAGATAGAGGGGGGACCAAAGATGAATATATCCTTCTAGAATGTTAGAGGATTGAACAAATCCTCTAAGCAACATATGGTAAGAAATTTCATATCTCAATACCATCTTTCATATGTAGCTCTACTTGAAACAAAAATAAATGATTGTAAGATTCAACTAGCAGCAAAAAAAATTGCTGGAAATTGGAATTATGTCTCTAATGCCAGTAATCAAAGAAAAGCAAGGATCTTGATTATGTGGGATCCAAAAATCCTTGGTGTTCAAATTATCACCATATCAGACCAGAGTATCACATGCAAAATTGTATCAGTTGATGGGAAAACAGATTGTATGATTACTTCTATCTATGGCTTTAATCAAATGGAAGCTAGGAAGGAGTTATGGAAGGAATTGAAGACTATTCAACAATCAATGGGGAATGAACCATGGATCTTGTGTGGTGACTTTAACACTGTAATAAAGGGTGAAGAAAAGCTTGGAGGTGCAGCTGTTACTGAGGCTGAAACCAAGGATTTCAGGGATTTAATTGAAGACTGCCATCTAAATCATCTAAAAACAACTGAATGTTTTTACACATGGAACAACAAACAGGATCATGATACTAGAGTTTGGTGCAGGCTGGATAGGGCTCTGGTGAATGATGCATGGCTTGACATGTACAATGCTAGTCAGGTTGAATTCTTGCTTCCTTATTTTTCTGACCATTCTCCTGCTAAGGTATCTCTGTTCCAGGAATGTTCTATTGGAAAAAAACCTTTCAAGTTTTTTAAAATGTGGTCTAAGCATGATAGCTACATTCCAACAGTCTCTGCTATCTGGCAAACAAAAGTGGAGGGTTACAAAATGTTCTTAGTATGCAAGAAACTTAAAATGATGAGAGGTGCACTTAAGGAATTAAATAAGAAACACTTTTATAATATCAGTGAGCAAGTTCTTAGAGCCAAAATTGCTCTTGATGAGGCTCAAAGTAATCTGCAATTAGATCCTCTCAATTCAGATTATATTTTGAAGGAAAAGGAGTGTATTACAAGCTACAACAAACTCCTAGATTGTGAGCTTTCTTTTTTGCAGCAAAAAGCTAGGATTATCTGGAGTATGCAAGGAGATAGGTGCACAAATTTTTTCCACTCCAGAATCAAAGCAAACAGGCATCATAATAGGGTGTTGGTTCTGTACAACAACCTAGGACAAAGACTTACTGATCAAAAGCAGATTGCAAATAAAATGGTGGATTTTTTTCAAGGGCCTTTTAGGGACTGCTCCAGTTACTACAGCACCTGATCTTCATATTATCCAGGCTGGTCCCTGTTTAAATGAAGCACAAGCTAACACTCTCTCAAGACCTGTTTCAAAAGAAGAGATTAAGAATATTGTTTTTTCGATGGATGATAGCAAGGCACCTGGCCAGATGGATATGGATTTGCATTTTATAAATCTGCTTGGCCTATGATTGGGGAGGAGGTAACACTTGCAATTGAAGAGTTTTTCAAGAATGGAAAATTACTGGGAATGGTTAATTCAACTGCCATTACTCTTGTGCCAAAGAAACACTGTCCAGTCACCCCAGCTGATTTTAGGCCCATATCCTGCTGCAACTGCATTTACAAGATCATTTCAAAAATTCTAGCAAACAGGATTAAACCAATCATGGGGAGCATTGTGAATGAAGCGCAGAGTGCATTTGTCAAAGGAAGACAGATTACTAGTAATATTTCCTTGGCTCATGAACTGGCTAAAAGCTATAGTAGAAGGAACATTTCTCCTAGAATCATGTTGAATATTGATATCAAGAAAGCATTTGATACAATAAGTTGGGACTTTGTTAAAAAGATGCTTGAATGGCTGAAATTTCCTAAGGAGATGATCAACTGGATCATGGCTTGTATCACTTCACCTAAATTCTCTATTTCACTTAATGGATCCCTACATGGTTATTTTGAAGGAAAGAGGGGTTTAAGACAGGGTGATCCCCTATCACCTTATCTATTCATTCTTGGGATGGAATTCTTATCAAGGAGACTAGAGCTATTAAAAAAAGACAGGTTGTTCAAGTATCACCCGATGTGTGGTAAACTCAAAATTTCTCATCTCATCTTTGCGGATGACTTATTGCTTTTTTCCAAAGGAGATCTTTATTCCATCCAAAAGCTATATCAATGTGTTAAGGACTTCAGTGACACAACTGGACTTGAAGCCAACTTGGATAAATGCTCTATTTACTTTGGTGGGGTGGATGATGCTATTAAAACAGAGATCAAAGAATTCCTGGGGTTCTCAGAAGGTGTCATTCCATTCAAATACCTAGGAGTCCCTCTCATTTGCAAGAGGCTTACACATGTGGATTGCAACCCTTTGTTAGATAGTATTTCAAATCAATTTCAGAAGTGGTCAAGACACAGCAACTTATCATATGCAGGGAGGATTCAGGTTATCAAAAGTGTGATTTTGGGTATTCAAAACTTCTGGACATCTAATTTTGTACTGCCAGTTAAGGTAGTGAAGAGGATTGATGAAGCTTGCAGGCAATTCCTGTGGGGGAAATCTGGAAACACTTCAAAAACTCCTTTGGTCTCATGGGATAAAGTATGATGTGGGAAAAATCAAGGTGGTTTGGGAGTTTATTCTGCAACTATTTGGAATCTAGCTACTGCTATGAGGAGTATGTGGTATATCCATGTCAATAAGGAAATTTTATGGGTGAGATGGATCCATGGGAATTATTTAAAGCATAGGGATGTATGGAATGTTAAAGCAAAAAGAGGAGACTCTTGGATGTGGAAGCAGCTACTTAAATGTAGGGACAAGGCTTTGAATGAAGTTGGAGGCATTGACAACCTGAAGAAATTGCTTAGTGATTGCTACAAAAACTCAAAAATCAAGCTGTCGGCAATATATTCTGCATTTTCCCCTGCAAATCAAAAAGTTCCTTGGTCTAACACAGTGTGGGGAAGTTTGAATTACCCTAGGCACTCGTTTATACTGTGGCTTGCGGTGCTGAACAGGTTTCAAACACAAGACAGATTATTGAGAAGATGGATAATTAATATAAATTAGTGTTACCTGTGTGCAGGTTCTGAGAGCAGAGACCATTTATTTTTCGAATGCTATTATTCCAGGGATGTGTGGTTTGGCATCAGTAACTGGCTTGGAATTGATTGGCAAACATGTTATTGGAACTTACTTATGAATTGGTATATCACTAGACAGAGAGGGAAGGGATTCAAGAAAAAGGTTAGGAGATTGGTGCTTACGGCTGCTGTGTACAGAATTTGGGAAGAAAGGAACAGAAGATATCACCAGCAAGCGTGCAGGAACGCGGATCAGTTAGTTAAGAACATCAAAACTGATATATTCACCTTATGCCTGAACAGCCACATCACTGCTGAGCAAAAAAATTTGTTAATATCTTTGTAAATTTTGTTTAGGAATTTGGTTTTTCTCATAGTTGAGATAGTGATGTACATAATTTTCATATTTTGGCAAATGAATAAAAGTTTTTCATTGACCAAAAAAAAAATTAGAAGAAATTGATATAGATGCGCGTACGCTGACTTATTGAAGCAAGACCCAAACCAATGGTGAAGGGCTTTTTAATTTTCCCAATTAAACGCGTGTTGTGATGTGGTGAAAAACAATATAGTAGGAACATCTAATGATTATATCTTGAAACTAAGATATAAGCCTATAATATTCATGTTGGAAGAGATCAGGGTGGCACCTACGTCTAGAACTCAAACAAAAAGAGCATTCAACAAGAAAGGGAAGGGTCAGACATGCAATAGTACCGGTAGAGAGAAAGGTCATAGTAGAAGACATGCAAAAAGCCTATCGTGAGGATTAATCAACAAGAAACACATCAGACGCAGACAAATAATTGCTACGAGAGCTTGCATCAATATTTTATATAATTTTATAATTAACGTTTGAGACGTAGGTAATAGTTTCTCTTGCAAGCAGATACAGTCATGCATATATATATACATTAGTGGACAAAATATTTGAGATTGTACCTCTTGACGTCTACTCAAATTCTATTGCGTGGTATGGACATCTCGTGCTTTTTTGGTTCAGGATCGTAACTTATATGGGGAGTGCACCTAGTCACGTTTATTCTCTTTTTCTATCCCTTAAGATGAACTGTTCTAATCTTATAGCTATTCAGATATAACGAACATATGTGTAGGTGCGTTTGAGGTTAATTTTAATGGTCAAGACATCTTAAGATGGAATTAACACGGGCTGCAGCACCACATTGGTGAAAGTTGGAGGGGCTGGGACACAATGGAAGTTGGAATTTGGGGCTTTGGAGCAATTTTTCCTTTTATTTAACTGACATATATTTATATTGCAATTACAGTTAGTTATGTCCACTCACAATCTTTGATCAAACTCATTTAATTCTAGTTACTTCCAATCACAATCTTTGATCAACCGCATTTGATTCTTAAATAAACTACTGCCTAGAGCCCTATGATTATTATCATTTTTATTATAGAGTATATATAGGTATGTGTAGCTATATGATTTGAGTCATGGACCTCCTCATTCTTCTCGTGCTCTCCGCTTGACCACTTTGTACCCCTACCAAGAACCTCCTTTTTTGTCTTTTCCTTTTTTTTTCTTTTCCTTTTTTTTAAATATAATTTGCTCCGTCCTTTTTGCTTGTCCGCGTTACCTTCTTTGGACGAGACATGCGTGCACCTGATTTTACCTTCGTTGATCCAACAACTTTGGTTATATGGATTTTGTTCTCGTCAACTTTGCAATGGGGGAGTGTTTTCTTCAACTTGACTTGATAGGCATTAGAATCTACAAAAGAAAACAACTTGGCTCCATTAGTCCACTTTAACAAGTCATTTGTCAATCCGTGCATTATAATTTTCTATAGCCTAACTACATTAAGGTGCAATTTGGTGGTCGAGAGAGGAAATAGAACTGCATAACTAATGTTTGGATATTATGGTAATTTTTGTGTTGCGTTTTGAAAACATCATGGTGTTCTTCTCCAAAAGTGTTCTCAAAACTTCATGGTAAGTGTTTTTTGTCA